TCATAGCTGCTAACATAGGATGGGGGTCAGCAGCCCATGTTAAGCTTCCATGCAGGAGTTCAGATTTTCTGGAAAGATAATCTAATGATCATCATTAGAACACACTTCTTGTTGCTCAGCTTTACTTTCCCTCTCATGCTAACCCTGCTTCTCCTTATTACACCACCATAAAAGCTTCTTTCCTTCTTTGGTGTTTGTAGCTTCCAAATACCAGGAGGCGGCTGGAATCAACCTGGTTTTTATTTAAGCAAGGTGTAAATATCTGACTTGCAACGCATTTCCAAATATGATTCTTCTAACGCTTCAATCATTTTAGTCTTCGGAGTACCCTCCAATTCGATAACTTTCTCTTTGAGAGAGTTTTATTGTGGCTTTACTATCATCAGTGCACATGGGATGAACTATCAATTCACTGGTCTTTGAATTGATGTCTGACTTTGCAGCCCAGAGGATAATCATACTGTATCATTGGATCAAGACTGCCTCTTATAACCCTTACATCTTTTCCAGCATTACTATTTTCCAGGACTCCTTCCCAGAATAACCATTATCTGTGTTCAGAAGTATCTTCTTAAATATTATATAATTATATTGTCACGGGGTTTTCTGGGATTGCCTCTAACACTATTGCCTGCTTTCATACTTTCGCAATGTACTACATTTAATCACAGAAATTCTTATTAAATGCAAGGTTTCTCTTTAAACCATAACAAAATAAATTATTATGCTCCCCCCCCCCACCTGCTGCTTTTCATGGACTTCAAAGTTCTTTTCAGTGGAACAGGAGGGTGGGGCAGTGGAAACCCGTTCATTCTACTGGTGCCTGCAATTTAATCTCTTATTTAATTTCCTATTCCATTCAGAAAAGCCAAATTACTTCAAGCAGCCTGTCCTCAGCCAGTAGACCATAGCTGAAAGGAAAATAGTATGCATGTCCCTGCAAGAACTGCTTTAGGCACACTGAGGGGAGTCTAGACTCATATGTTATAACTTCATGTCTTCGAGCGCACAGACATATTTGGGTCTTTTCAGATCTTGCCTTAAAATGGTTGCACCAAACATGAGAATTTGTTCTTTGTCTTTAATGACATCTTCAAATAATTTCTCTAAAGGAAGTGAATATGCTTCCCGCTTCAGAAATAAAAGCCTATGTGGTATTTAAATATAAAAAAGACGTCTAAACAATCAAGCTGAAGGCATGTACAGTAAAATCAGCAGTGACTGTCCAAACAATAAACTGAATTTTCAGGAGACTGTATCCATTCTCTTTTTATTTCCACATGAATCCACAGTGAAGCATTTTCACATGAAGAATGATTTTTTTTAGCTGCAGTATTCACCAAATGCAAGTTTATTACTACTTCTGGTACGAATACTAGTGACTTAAGCCCCAACACAATTAAGATACGATAGAGGTACAAGTTATACAAAGCAAAATAGTACGGTAATTAAATCTAAGAGGGAAAGGGTTTCTGCAAAAATGTCAAAGTTTCAAATTTTCAAAGTTTTTCATGGAAAAATACAATCTCTCTCACTCACACACAGAATAGGAAATCTCTGAGAACAGTAAATTGTCCTTTTTCAGACATTCAGCTGTAACATGACAAACAGATTCAAATCCCCGTTCTCTCCAATTCAAAACCAGGAATTGATCCTGAGTCTCCCACATGAGATTAGAGCCCTTACCATGGGGCAACTGCATAATCTGAGAGTTGGGGGGTGAATCTCACTGCTTTCCAGGGAAAAATTAACATCTATCCTGGACTTCAGCAACCTCACCAATTAAACTGACCCCTTCCCAGAGGAAGTCTGAATTCAAAAGACGAAGTGTTTTCCAAAGAAAGTCCGCTTTGTCAAAAATTCCCCTACCAGCTTTAAGCACAATAAGGCAAGGACAGTCTAAAGAGCTTGCAGTTGAATATATGAATTTTAATCAGATTGTAAATCGTGAAAGTTACTGCCTGCCTGGTACTGGTTAGCTACATAAATCATCAAATCAATGCAGAACTCATACCATGCGAATGATGCAACTAAGCAGCATACGGTGAATGTTGAATGTTATATTGATTCACTAGGTAACAAGTTGCTACGTATTAGTAGCATAGCCATATAACATTGTGCCTGATCTACAACAAATTTGGAATGGAAAAATGCAAACATTTGCAAAATGGCCAGCTAACTGACAACTGCTTGCTGAAGAAAACTGTAAATAATTTCAAAGCAATGAATGTGTTCAAACATTAAAGAAATGAAATTGGTGGAATAAATTGCTGACTAACAATTCAAATCTAGCCTATCTATAATAACCACAGCATGTAACCAGAATGATTATGCTCCCCATTGTATAGGAACATTTTACACATTCCATTTTCTTTTTCCCTTTTCAAAAAATCAATGTATAAAACGTCCCAAAGAATGCAGGAACTTAGCTGGCACTTATGCTTATCTGTCTGAATTTGCTGACACCAAGAAACAAAAACTCAAGAAACTTGTGCCAGAGGCTGCTTTTGCACAGTCAGTTAGATTGGCTCCCTCCTCCTCAATTCCAGCTGCTGCTACAGACCTCCAGGCACTTCTCACTCACGAGGAGCCTAGAGAAATGTGGGGGCAGCTGGAGATGAGAGCCAGCCAGCTAGTTCTCTGCGGGCCACCAACAAATGCTCTGCAGAAACAACACTCTCTAAACTCCATGGTGCTCACAGTTTTTCTTTTCTAGGTTTAATCAAGCCAACCTGAAAAAAAACCTAGCAAAATTCAGGTGTTAGATGTAGCACATGATGCAGAATGCCAATTCTTGCCATCTCTCTTACCCAATCTCTTAACCTTCCCCCCTACATTAACTGGTCTGTTCTGACCCAACCCTTTCAGCTACCGCTACACTACCTTCTTTGCATATTTTATCCCTCCCATACTCTTGGGCTTTTTTCTGCCTTCTGTATCATTGTCCTGCCACGTTTCCTAACATTTGCTCACCTGCTTTCCAGCTCACCAACACTGTCATTCCATCCCCTCATACTTCCTTTATTTAGGATCCCTGTTTTCCTCCCATACCTCTCATTCTTATTCTGTTTGTTTTCAACCTCAGCATCTCAGGTCCTCTCCACTGCCTTGTCATAATTTTCAATTAATCTAATTCACTTGACTCATGAATGACCAAACACTTTGTAGATGTATTGCTGCTAAATATATAAATTTTACTCAGATTGCAAATTGTGAAAGATATTGCCTGACTGGTACTGGTTAGCTACATAAATTATCAAATCAATGCAGAATTCATACCATGCATATGACGTAACAAGCAGTATCTGCAAGAATAAAGTGAAACCATCTCAACATTTTATATTACACAGTGAGATTACAGAATATTATACCGTTTCAGTAAAAGTCAGGGAAGACCTAGGGAAGAAAGTTTGGGATGAAATGAGGAATTTGCAGTCCTGTTGCTGGTAAGAAAAAAGAAAAAGAGGCTTTTAAATGATACGGATAGCAAAGACTGGTAGTAACATTACAGTGCGCTACATGAGTAATACACGAGTTGAGATTTAACTGGTATCTTATTTATAAATTAAATCCTTTGACTCCAACAGAAAATAGATTTGAACTAAAGTCCACAGGAAGATGTATACATTTTTATCCATGTTGTTTCAGATAATGCCTGCTTACCTGTCTACCTGAATGTTTAAATTTCCTCCCCCCACCCACAACCCTGAATAGAGGTAAATGTTCCTACACTGACTCCATGGTGGTCACTTAGAAAGACCAAGCAAGTAAAGCTAGTCTAAGAAGGATTGCAGGTAATTGCTTGCATCCAATAACACTTACATAACATAATGAAGTTCAATACAGGATAGGAAAGGGCCTCCCAAGACACAGTCTACCCCGTTATATTTACAGGCCACCATTCATCAAAAAGGGGCCACAAGAATTAAAAAAAAGAGAGTAAACACAATGTAAAGGTTCCCAAGATCTAATGGAGGAGAAACAGGAGATGACCCATTTTTGCAAAGACATTTTTGCAGTAACCACAAGACAAAACTTCATCTTACAGCTAGAGGGTTAAATTAGCCTGGACATTTTATACCCAGGATATACTTTTCCTTTGGGAAGTCTATACAAACCTCAAAGGTACTTATTTTTATTAGTTGCAGAAAAAAAACAATGTATGCAAATAATAACTTCCAATATTTATTGCAACTTAGCTTTTAAAAATGTACACAAATTTATCAGATTACATACATACCTTATGATCTATGCCAGCGGTGCTCAACCTTTTTGTCCAGCGAGTCGGATGGGCAGGGCTGGATCCCTCTATGGGCCAGATCTGGCTAGTGGTCCCAATCCAGTGCCCAGAGGAGGCACTGCAGGGTCCCTTTGGCTGTGGGGGGGCGGGGGCTGGGGGGGATACAGCCAAGCCCCAATCCAGCTGCATGGGAGAAGGGGGCTTGCAGAGAAGGGCAAAGCATGGCCCAGCCCCAGTCCAACCTGGTGGGGGGAGGAGGTGTGACCAGCCCATAACTGGGCAGAGTAAAAGGGGACATGGCCCAGCCCCATGGGGGGAGGAGGCGTGGCCTAGCCATGAACCAGATGCACAGGGGAAGGGGGCATGGCCTGGCCCTGCAGGAGGAAGGGCCGTGGTCCATCCCCGCAGGAAGAAGGGGGCCCGGCCCAGCCCTGTGGAGAGAAGAGGGCATGGCCCAGAGCCCATCAGGCCCTGCCAAGGGTGGTGTGGCTCTAATTGGCCATGAGGGGTTGAGGATTTTGGTAGCAGGGAGCGGTGACAGTATTAACTGCCTCTGCTCCCCACTGCCAAATTTCCCAATCCATGAGGAGCCCAGTGGGCTAGATTCCAAGGCTCCACAGGCTGCACTGGGCCCAAGGGCTGGGGGCTGAGCATCTCTGACCTATGCAATTAAGTGTCCTTTAAATATTACAATTGACCAGAACTTTAGAAAGAACAGTTTAGCACGAGGAAAAAAAAATGCTTTGGTTCCCCAACTCACCTGAGCATCTATTTTAATGAGTGCAATATCTGCTTTTTCATCAACATCTTTAATTTTAGCTTCATATGTCGCACCATTCTTCAGCTCTACTTTTACTCTATGTTTATTGGTAACTACATGGGCATTTGTCACTATTAGTCCATCCTCTGAGACAACGAACCCTGAACCACTGGCAACAGGAACTTCCCTCTTTGTAAAAGGAAGTCTAGAAGACATGGGAAAGAAACATTTACATTTGCAGAATAGGTAGACTGTTCAGAGATAACAAATTATGCATTTCTTGTCCCCATTACCACAAAGCCAACAAGCATGTAACATATTTAAATATTTTAGAACATTTAGTATAATTTTTAAATAGCATCAATTTACATTTTATGGCATAAGATTAAGTACAAAAATTGTGCCAGACCTAGACAAATCAATACATACTCATTTACTTAAGAGTGTCAGGGTGATAAATATTTACCAGTAGCTTTCTTATAACCTATACCAGTATATCTCATAACATATTCTGGCAGACTTAAGCCATGTGATCTACAGGAATAGAAAGTTGAATCTGGACATCTTTACTTGCGAAACAATTCGATGTGTACCACAGCAGGGGCTATCTTCTCTACCACATCTGCAATGAAGTTGTATTTGTGCCTCAAACTGTTGGGGTCTTCCTGGCCTGAAAAGGAAAACAGAAAACTTTTCAGATCTTCAAACGACAGGACAAGGATCACTGTAAAACACTTGCATTAATAAAACAAAACAACATTTTGAAGTAGATCCCCTTTTCCAGCAAGTACCACTCTCTGGGTGCGGCCCTCCAGCCAGTTGGCAACCCAACTGACTACGTGGGTGTCGACACCACAGTCCCCCAGTTTCTTAATGAGAACGTGGTGAGAGACAGTGTCGAAGGCCTTCCGAAAGTCCAGGAAGACTATGTCCACTGCTACCCCTGCGTCTAATGATTTGGTGATCTGATCATAGAAGGCCACCAGGTTGGTCTGACAGGACCTGCCACTAATGAACCCGTGTTGGTTGCCCCTAAGCATGACCTCCCCTGCTGGCCCCTTGTGGATATGTGCCAGAATAATTTTCTCAAAAAGCTTGCCCAGGATCGAGGTAAGACTAACTGGCCTATAGTTTCCCGGGTCCTCCTTCTTCCCCTTTTTGAAGATGGGAACCACATTGGCTCTCTTCCAGTCCTCTGGTTTCTTTAGGCAATGTATTTTATATTTATGAGTTGTTTATCCTCACTTACATTTATGCCGTGTACACTTTGTGTAAAAACAAACCAATCACATATACATGCAATATTTATCCACTGGAATAAAAGGCAGACCCATGTAAGAGAGTTATTCCAGTTTTTAAAGGTCAGGCATATGTGACCTTCCATGAGCTGGGAGCATGGTTTATAGATTCATAGATGTTAGGGGTGGAAGAGACCTCAATAGATCATTGAGTCTGACCCCCTGCATAGGCAGGAAAGAGTGCTGGGTTCAGATGACCCCAGCAAGGTACCTATCTAACCTCCTCTTGAAGACCCCCAGGGTAGAGGAGAGCACCACCTCCCTTGGGGGCCCATTCCAGATTTTGGCCACTCTAACTGAAGAAGTTCTTCCTAATGTCCAGTCTAAATCTGCTCTCTGCTAGCTTATGGCCATTACTTCTTGTGACCCCCAGGGGCGCCTTGGTGAGTAGAGCCTCACCAATTCCCTTCTGCACCCCCATGATGAATTTATAGACAGCCACAAGGTCACCTCTCAACCTTCTCTTGCGGAGGCTGAAGAGGTCCAGGTGCCATAGTCTCTCTTCGTAGGGCTTGGCCTGCAAGCCATTAACCATATGAGTGGCCCTTCTCTGGACCCTCTCCAGGTTATTCATATCCCTCTTAAAGTGTGGCGCCCAAAACTGGACGCAGTACTCCAACTGGGGTCTTACCAGTGCTCGATAGAGGGGAAGTATCACCTCCTTGGTTCTGTTTGTCATGCATCTACTGATGCACAATAAAGTGCCGTTAGCTTTGCTGATGACTTCGTCACACTGACGACTCATGTTCATCTTGGAGTCCACTAGGACTCCGAGTTCCCTTTCCGCTTCCGTGCTACCAAGCAGGTCATTTCCTAGGCAGTAGGTGTGCTGGACATGTTTCTTCCCTAGGTGCAGCACTTTGCATTTCTCCTTGTTAAATCACATCCTATTGTTTTCTGCCCATTTGTCCAACCTGTCCAGGTCTGCCTGTAGTTGTTCCCTGCCCTCCGGTGTGTCCACTTCTCCCCACAGTTTTATATCATCCGCAAACTTGGACAGAGTACACTTCGCTCCCTTGTCCAAGTCACTGATGAAGACATTGAAGAGTATCAGTTGTTGGGAGGACTAATGTAATGCCTCATGTTTAATACCTGTACCAACCACACAGAGCCACAATGATTTCGGGCATGCTAGTTTGAAAAGTTTTCTACTTTTTGCATAAACAAATTAACTTTCCAGTACTTTTGTTTCTTCACGCTGTTATCATTTGTCTCATCACACAAATTAAAATAAAAGTGTGGTTTTACGGTACTTAAGTATCTGTGATAGTATGTGTCCTATGTGCTGTAGGATCATATAGATAGATACAGAGGTAGTGTTCTGACTCATTTCAGGAATTTTATCACATCCTGCTACTTAAACTTCAGGACTAAAAACAGAGAATCTCTGAGAAACATAATGCAAAAATATTGCCAGTCTGGGAATATCACAGTGTGATCCCAAAAATCAGGCTGAATTTTTATCATCCACAATTTAATCTGCAGTGCATTGCAAGGGTTTTAGTCCTTTGACACCATCGTGGCCAATTATTCATATAACTCTAATTACCCCTCTTTTTCACCTCCGTAATATTTGAAGCCTCCCAAGTGCTTTTAAAAAGCAAATTATTCACTGAACAACACCAATAGATGCAGTAACTAGATACTCAACTACAGTTACAATACGCAACAAGTTTGACAATCTGAGTCTTTTTTACTGAATGAGTATATTGGCATGGAAACTAGTTAACACCTTCTTTGCTATTCAAGTGGACCAGGTTCTTTAACTTTATTTTGGATTATCATTAGAGTTGCGCAAAAAGACGCGTCACTAATGTATCATAGGAGGATTTATGTCTTGCTTATTCGATATATTGTGCTCACAGAACCACAAAACTATTATACATAAAGCTCTTCTAATTGCCATATTAAAGCTGTTTTGGAGACTCAGTATGAGAACTGAGATATTATGTGCCCAATAAATGTCACACGCTGAATGTGCAGTCTGGCTGGCATAATCACATGGCCAAAACTAAGTTCATATTGTGCCTTAAAAAATGTTAGGTAATAAAAGTGATTCATGGCATACTGACCTAAATAACATGCTGCTACACAACCCTGCCTTTCCTCTTATGTATTAGAAATTCTTGTGTTTTATAACGTGGTTTTGCAATAGCAATTGAACTACTGCATGTTTAATGGAAAACATACCTGTGTTTTCTTTCATTTTTTTTTCTTTTTTTTAAACAACCAGAGTATTGCCTATAGAAAGATTTCACTGACAACTGTTTACAGTAAATCCGCAAACAACAAGGCACCCCATTGAAAAGATTTTAAACCAGTAAAAGATTAGGAGAAACAAAAATTTGGTTGTACTGAAAGAAAAACTATTAAGAAACAGAGACCAGTAAGTGGTAAATAGGGTCCCTCTTGCATATACATTTAGTGCTTCTCAGTGCCAGTGGTCTTTTTGAAGACTGTTATACAACTACAGAAGCATTACATAGCAACAATCAACATTTTCAGTGTATATTACTTCTGTGATCCTACTCCAAAAATAGCTGTACTAGCAACATTTTAGGGGAAAACCCATACATTTGAGATTGCTTCTCATGTGAATGCATATATCATTTCCTATAACAGTAGCATTGACCCCAAATACAACTTCTGTATGAACAGTAAATACAGGCTAAACCTAGTGTGGTGTCTCAAAGACCTATATGTAAAATTCAGATTGCCTCATCTTTTATAATACAAATCCTACATAAATGGTTGTTCATGACCAGTGATCCCAGTCATATTTTCTCTGTTTAAAAATGGCAAATTCTCTGATTAAAACAAACTCTCAGATTACAAAACCCAAAATCTGTGATTAAAATGAAATGCCACAATTGAACACAATGTTTTATTGATATATTTACTATTTTAAAGCAATTTGGAAACCTACCAGTGCTCCAAGTATTAAAATAAAATAAATGGTAAATACTTACACATTTTGGTATTTGATTTTGGGTTTATCACAAAAAATCAGAGATCCCCTTGCCCCCTTCACTCACCAGGACACAGGTTCAGGCCCCTCACTCCCAAGCCACAGCCCCCCAGTCCTGAAGGTGCCCCTCACTTCCCAACCACAGCTCCCCCACCCCTACTGGTGTCCTTCACTCCCTACCCACACCCCACGCGCCCTGCTGGTGCCCCTCACTCCCCATCCACAGTCCTGCCAGAGGGGGCCCCCAGCTGCCAGGGCTATGGGGCCAGAAACCCAGATCTACAGGCCCCTGTCCCCCCACGGCAGCACCCGTGCCCCCCTGCCAGGAGTGCATGTAGCGGCAGGGAGCCAGCCCCAACCCCTGACGAGCCACCCACGGCTCCATCCCTCTCCCCACTGAGGCCCTGCTGTTAAGCATTCCACCCCCGGGCCCCAAGCTGTACACACCTCCTGGCTGAGCAGCAGCCCCAGTTCTGCTCAACTCACTCCCTAACTATGGGGACCTCAATACCCTCCCCACACAAGACTTACCTACAGGAGCTGCTCTCCAGGCTGCCTGGTGGCCATGTGCACATGTGAGCGCGCACATGCACATGGCACCCCCTGCCTGACCATCCTCCTCCCGCTCCCCCTGGCCCCTTGCAGCCTGGAACTCTTCCAGGCTGCAGAGAACTCTTTGCAAAAGTGGAAAATCTACACGTTTCTCCATTATGATGAGAAATCTGCATTTTTCCCAATTAGAAGGCGAAATCCATGTTTTTTTCTCTTTTTCCATGGGAAATGGAAAACCTGGATTCCTGTTCACAACCAAGTGTTTAAAAGGTAATTTCCAGTCAGTTCCAACTATTGCAGAAAATGGGGGTGTGTATGTAAATAATAACCAGGGCAAAATTTCATGTTTCGTTTTTCTCCAAGTTTCAAATACTAGTTCTAGTGCCCACTGCAAATTCTTAGGGTAGGAGTTAATTGCAAGTACAATGTGCTTTGTGTAAGATCTCTTTTTTGGAAGCATGACGATTATCCATATTCAAATAAAAGGTGCTGCTGTAAGCATCGCAATTTTAGAACATTTTGTCAGTTCACTGGACTATCCTAAGACTATTAAAACAAATCTGAAGTTTTGACTAAGGATAACATCTCCAAATGTGGAGGAAGGCACACAATACTTGTACCTTATCTATTTTTTCTCACTACTTCCATCTACCAAAGCAGAAGGCAACACAGAAAGGCCTTAAATGGTAGTTTTCACTATACTTACGTCCTTCTCCTGAAATGTCTCCATCTTTAAGCTCAAACCTCTTCCTGCCTTTTAAGGAACCCAACATGAAATTGAGGTGTAAGTAAAATCATATAAATAGCTATTCAATTTCCACCTCTGTCCATCTCTCTTCATTGTTAAAATTA